AGCTCGAAGAAGAAGCTGGAATCAGAAGTGTTGAAGTTGAAGCTGATTTTACTTTGTAGTTAGGTTTTTTTGGGGTTTAATCATTTATAAGTTGTAATCAGATGTATTTGGGTGGTTGAATTAAGAACAATTTGTAGTTGTGTGATGTGACTTTGATGTATTGGTGTCTTGTCATTACCCTTAATTACGTATAGGGATGCTAATTACCATTAATTTGGTGAAATTATGCCACCCTTAATGTCATTACATATAGTACGTTGCTAAAAAACATATTAAAATTGTTAACAATTATTGTATATTTGTCCACTAAGAACACAAGGACCACATGCTCTTAAATGTTGGAATTACATGTCATTACCCTTCACTTTTTAATTACATATAGTACGTTGCTAAATAGCATTAAGAATTGTTAACAATAATTGTATATTTGTCCACTAAGAACACAAGGACCACATGATACATCAGGAATTACATGCATGCATGTTGAAAACTACTATTATTAAAGGACAACCAAAGCATGATAATAGTACAAACCATTTTCAAACCAAACAAACTAACTTCAAACAAACAGCTAAATGTCAAACCAAAAAACTACCAACTTATTGTCAAACCATTATCAAACATAACCACATGACACCATAAAATACTCCCTACTCATTAAGGTCTACTAGGTTTGCACTAGTTTCTCCATTCCCATCCTTGGTATTAACCTTCTTTTCAAGTTTCATTTTTATGATTCTCTCTGATTTTTTTCTTTTACTACCAACTTTTGGTACTTTATCTCCTTTATCAACTGACTTTGGTCCACAACTTCCTTCATCAATGCCTTTGGTCCACAACTTCCTTCAAAAATTGCCTTTGGTCCACAAATTCCTTCACCATCTTCACCCTTGGCCTTTATTTCCTTTTGGTGACCTCAAGTTTTATGGGCCTTTGAACCCTTGCCCTTTGTACCTGTGGCCTTTCAACTTTAGGACAAGTAACCTTGTTATGACCTGCTTGTTTACACACATAGTGTACAATATTATTTTTCCTTCCTTAGACACAGTGTGTCTTGGAAGCTTTTCTGATGCATCTCTTCTACTGTTTACCTTTGGCCTACCTGGCATTCTTCTCTTCAATGGTGGTAGAGGTGGTATGTACTCAGTAGGTGGCCACATATTGCTACCATTCATCCCATGTATTTGGTATTTGTAAGTGTTCTTGTACAAGGCACCATACAATATTAGATCCACATAAGTGGCAACATCTCTATTCATATATGATATAGTAGCTACTGAATGCATACATCCATTCCCATTAAGTTGCCACACTCTGCAAGTACAAGTCTTCTTGTCCATGTCAACAACATATGACTCTGCCAGGTTTCTGGTTTCAAATTGGTTTAGACCACTTGGTAAAACCTGCTAATACCTATTTGATCCACCACATAAGTTATTATGTAAGTTAGATTAAGAGTGTAAAGATTAGAAAGTAACTTTGTGCTCTTTTCAATTGATTTAGTAGGAGTGTAATTGATGGGCAAGGTTTGTAATCAGGCCATGAACTACCTTTCATCTTCAAATTGTATAGCCTCTCCATAACATATAATCTAATCTTCTCTAACATGGTGATGATTGTCTTTTTCCTTGCATCCCCGATGACACTGTTAAAGCTCTCGGATAATCCATTCTCCATTACATCACACATCCTTCCTTCTTGAAAGAATGCTCTACTCCAAGATTTGGGGTTTGTTTCCATAAGGTAATCCTAGGCTGCAGGGTTAAGCACTTGAATCTCCTTCATGGCAGCATTGAATAAAGGCTCAGTGGATGCTTTGCTTGCCTTCCGAAACATGGTCTCATAGTGTACACCAATGAATCTTTTCCTAAAGTTGGCAACAATATGCCTTGAACATTGCCTCTAACAACCCCTATCAAACAATGGTGATATGTTAGACATAATGTAACCCAAATGTAAAATATATAAAAGTTGAAAGTATAGGACATCCTTATGCTGATCCGACATCAATGTTATACCAAAACCATTATTTAGATGAAGGTCATCTTTTAGATTTTCCAAGAACTATTTCCAATTTGCTTTGTTTTCTACATATACAACTACCAATGCAATTGGTAATATGTGATTATTAGCATCCTTCCTACAACACATATTAGCTCTCCTGAACATAAACCCTTTAAGAAACAACCATCTAAATTTATTACTCTTCTGCCGCCCCCTCTCCACCCTTGCTTTAGGCCATCAAAACAAATGTAAAACTTGCTAAAATAAGTCTTACCATCTGGCATAACATTGACATCGATTTTGACTGTTGATCCAGGGTTTGATCTTCTTTTTCTCATCCCATATGATCATAGCTTTGCATAATGATCCAATAGTGTTCCCCCAATCAATTCAATTACATACTTGCTCTTCTACACTGTCCCATACTTACATCTATCCTAAATTTCTCTTTAACCTCATCCCTAAGGAGCCCCGCACTAACTTTTTTGTTTATGTAAGAATTAGGTGGTGGTAATGGCTACCTATCCATGCATAGTTCACAACTGAACCTAATTTGAGGTTTCTTGCACAGTTATGCTCATTTATGAGACTCTTAATTTGGAAAGATTTTTCCTCGCTCATCCAAGAAGCCCACATTCTAAACTTGCAAGCACCAGAACAACATTTCACTAAAAGTCTCCTGCTATCATTTTCTTGTAGCATAACTGATAACCATTGCAACACCATAATTACACATCATGTGTTTAAGTTGTTTAGGACTCACAAATCTCATACCTAATACATGCTTCTGCTTTTTCCAATAAACATTCCCATTGTAAATAGCTTGGTCATTAGATATCACCTCATCCTCATCTAGCTGATCATATGGGTCTTCACGAGGTGGACTGTTAGGGGTAACTTGGTCCTATGGGCACGGCTTGCTCAAAAACTCATCATCTTTTTTCTTGTTCATAGGAATACACTCATCAGGTTCATTGTCAACTTCCATGTCAATGTTATCATCTTCCTCACCTTGCAAATCCTCCCTAGTACTTTGCAAATCCTCCGTATCACCTTGCAAATTATGACCTAGCAAATCCTCTATATCAATTCCATCATCCATATCCATACCACCTTGCACTTCTTCATGAACTTCATTTCCAGCAGACAATTTGTCTAATGAACTGCATACTTCGGCTAGCTCGTCAAGTATCAATTGATGTACATTAACACCAAAATGGTCCATGTATACATGAATTACACAATAAGAAGCATACCCTACTTCAATGAACTCCTGGTAGTCTAAATCATTAGCTATTATCCTTAATCCATTAGGGAACGCAATATCGGGCATGCAAAAGTAAACATTCATGCATAACTCATTAGCGAATCTTTGAAGGAACACCACAAACTCATTCTTGTCCATTCCAGCAAAATCGACATCATCAAACATTTGCTCTGTTCCATCTGAGTAACAAATAACGGGGTACCTCGTAAAAATTCCGGCAAAATGGAGATCTATCTTCATGTAAACAGCCATAACAATGATTATGTTGGCCGATTTGAGCGAGGAGGAGTTTAAGAAACGAATTCGTGCCAAGAACAGTTTGAGAAAAGGATACGAATGAAAAGGTAGCAGAATAAAGAAGATGAAAAGGACAGTTTAGGGGGTTTAAACGGATATTAGGTTTCATTTACTCACACACACGTGACAATGACATGGCATTTTTAATCTATTTGGCAACGACGTGGCATAAACAAAGATCCTAGTAGGATGGGTGTCACCGGCTACACCCTTCAAATGATAAAATGTGACATTTTAAACGATAGAATTACAAGTACAAACCTTTTAAATAAAAAATAGTCATGAGTGACCATTTAATTAAACTAATATACAAAAGATAGTTAAGCTACAGTGATAATTACCCTATATCAATACCAAGTTATTTATTCAGGGATCTTAGGAGTACAAAAAAGATTAATGTCCAAAATATAACACAAAAATTTGTTGACCGATAAACTTTTGTTATAGCTGATTTTCAAGAATCAATCTAAACAAAATTTATCATTTAAAGACTCAGTATAGACAAAATAATTTTTGGTCATCATTTTTTTTTGGGTGTTTTTACTTTTAACCCTTTTCTTATAATTTTCTATTGCAACAGAATGTCAAGAAATATTATTTTTACAACAGAAAGGTGTGGATGGAATGAAACGAATTGATGGTTGACTTAATCCATATATATTTTTTTGAATAAAGAAGAGAAAAGCCTTCAAAAGGAAAGTCAACAATTTTGACTTTGTAAGGTGCACAACTTCTCCCTCCACAACCTCTCCAATATCCCTCATTCCTCAAATTCCTTACTTTACAAAAAAAATTCCCTACTTTTCATTATTTTATGCATCTCCCTTTTGTATTGTTATTTTTTTATTTGGATTCTAGATACAAGTTGTTAATATCCCTTATAAAACAATTTTTTGACAGAAAATATGAGTTTATAAAATTTGTGCCAATTTGCCTTCCATCAATATGTTTTGACTTTTTATTTCTATTTTTTTTTTTTTTAAATTTGTTGATAAAAATTTCATCAATTTATATATACATAAATTAATAAAAAACAATTTTATTACAAAATTGATATGATAGAAAAAAGCACCCAAAAAATGAATTAATTAGTTTACGAAATCTGATATGAGTCCACATAAGACAAGGTACAGAAAGACAGTGGTGCAGTTGAGTTGAGATTGGCTTCATTCAAACTGCCATTTCCCCTCTTCAAATATGCTCCCAACTCCATCAATCGATCTCCATATTTCCCTCCATCTTCGATACCCAAATCTCATTCCAACCGATGTTTTTGAATCTCTAAATCTTCAAAAACTTCCGATTCTTTCCTATTTTCACGTATCTGTGAAATTAATGTGATGCAATTACTGAAAGCCTGATCAGATCTACGAAGATTTTTTTTTTGTGGGTTTTGGGCGATTTGGAGCTTGAAGACCTCAAACATTCAGCAATGGTGGCTGAACCTTGGTTACTGAGGATGGGGAATCAAATGAGTTCGAATCTCAAGCACGCTCTCCTCTTGGAATCGTCTTCAAAACCATCAGCCAAGAACAAGCAAGACATCCGCAACAAAACTCCGGAAACAATCGGAATCCTTTCGTTTGAGGTTGCGAATGTGATGTCGAAAATCGTTCACCTCCACAAATCCCTAACGAATTCCGAGATCTCTAAATTAAAAAACGAGATTCTCAAATCTGACGGCGTCAAAACCCTAGTTTCCTCCGACGAAACCTACCTTCTAGACCTTGCGCTTTCAGAAAAGCTAGACGATTTGAGTTTCATCGCCGGCGTCGTTTCCAGGCTCGGCAAGAAGTGTACAGTCCCACAGCTCCAGGGGTTTCAGCATGTTTACGAAGATATAATCAATGGAGCTATTGATGTGGGAGGATTAGGGTTCCTAGTCAAAGACATGGAGTCAATGGTGCGAAAAATGGAGCGATTCGTGAATTCTACAGCTAGTCTCTACACCGAAATAGAAGTTTTGAACGAATTGGAAGCTGCAACGAGCAAGTTCCAGCAGAATCAGCATGAAGAAAGCCGAAAAGTTTTACAACAGAAAGTGATTTGGCAGAAGCAAGATGTAAAGCACCTCCAGAATGTTTCTCTTTGGAATCAAACTTACGATAAAATCGTCGAGATGCTAGCAAGAACAGTATGTACCCTCTATGCCCGAATTTCTTTAGTTTTCATCGATACAATTTCACGAAGAGACATGTTCTCCAATGCTTCTCTCCCCATTTCTTCTTCAAATCTACACTCCTGTAGAAGTTTACCTCAAAATTCATCCCAGATCGATTCCCGTAGTACAAAATCTGGTGGCAGTTTTAGTAATTCAGGATTTGAGAAAAGGGTAATTAGTCCCAGACCTCAGATCATATCAAAAAAGGGGGAAATCTCTCTGTTTAAAGCCGAAGATTTCAATTTTGCTTGTGGGTTGGGACCTGGAAGATTGTTCATGGAATGTTTAAACATAAACAGTTCGATTTCAAAATTTGATGATTTCGATGACGATTCTTTCCAAAAACGTGATGATCAAAGCAGTCGGATTTCAAGAGAGATCACAAATCATTCGGCTTTTCATAGCCGAATCCCAAGAATCCCAAAAAGCAGCTTTAAATCTACCCAAAAAAGCAGCGCAACAAAAACCAGACTAACAGTACAAGCTCCTCCAACCACCATTGGAGGATCTGCATTAGCATTACATTACGCCAACATCATAATCGTGATTGAGAAATTACTACAATACCCTCATCTAGTGGGTGAAGAAGCTAGAGATGATTTATACCAAATGCTCCCAACAAGCATACGATTGGGGTTAAAGATTAGTCTAAAATCATATATCAAAGATTTAGCAATCTATGATGCTCCTCTTGCCCATGATTGGAAAGATCGGCTTGATCAGATTCTTGTTTGGCTTTCACCTTTGGCACATAACATGATTAGGTGGCAAAATGAGAGAAATTTTGAACAACAACAAATCGTTTCAAGAACAAATGTGCTTCTTCTTCAAACTTTGTATTTTGCTGATAGAACGAAAACTGAAAGAGCCATTTGTGAGCTTCTTGTGGGGTTGAATTATATATGTCGATATGAACATCAACAGAATGCGTTGTTGGATTGTGCAAGCAGTTTTGACTTCAATGAATGTATGGAATGGCAATCTCAATATTCATGATGGTGAGTTTTTTTTTTTTTTTTTTTTTTTTTTTTTTTTTTTTTTTTTTTAATTAGATGATGATATGTGAATATGTGTTTTTTTTTTTTTTGGGTTTTTAGAGATTTGTTTATAATCATGGTATGGATGAGTTGTGTTATGTACTTTGTTCCAAGTTTTGAAAGTACAAAATTCAACTTGAAAAACAATCGAGCTTCTTCAAATCTACAATGTATTTTGGTGTTCTTTATTTTCTGTTAAAGCCTTGTTTTTTTAATTTATTAAAATTTGAATGGTAGCCTTATGTTTACTTATCTTGTTGGATTAGCTAAAAACATGTAAACATGTAGAGGTTGTTGTTAAGAACTTAATCAAAACAACTTTTTCTTTTTTACTTAATCCGAACAAAATGCTAATATAAAGTTAAGCCAAAAAACGCGTATTAGGCTATGTTTGACAACTAGCTGAAAAACTAGTTAATAGGCGAAAAGCTAACTATTAACCAATAAAAAAAAAGATTCGTTTGGTAAACTAGGTAGTAAGCTAGTTGAAATATGTAAAATGACATAAAATGGTATGTAGAAGATTGAGTTTTTTTATAATTAATAGAAGGGTATAGTTGAGAGAATTTTAAAAAAATGAAACTCTATATGTTTGTTGAAACGTTAGTCTAAATATAATTGAGAGAATTAAAAAAAAAAAAGGAAATTGAGGAATCTAACCTATATAAATGAGTTTTCTAAAGAAAATAACCATTTTTTTTCAATTTTTAAAAATCAATTTTTTTTCAAAAAATGTTTTATTCCGGGTTTGATCTTTAAATTTCGGAACTATTTTTTAATTTTTTCTTTTTTTTTTTGAAAAAAAAATTCCCACTTATATCTAAAATGTCAATTTTTAGTTTTTAATATCACTGTTTTTTCAATAAAATGTCTGATTTTATGCATTAATATCATATATATTTTACATTTACTATATTTATTTAACTTTTTTGTTAAATTTAAATAAAAAAATGAATTTTTTCTCGAAAATTCCATTATTGTTTTTGAAATTCTGGAGTTTTTTAATTTTTTTTCCGAAATCTGAAATTTTAGTCCGGAATCTAGAATGAGGTTCCAGAATCAGTAAAAAAAAGTGTTTTTTCTTGGTCCGAACGACTATTTCGTACCAAGTGATTGTTTTTGCTAATTTTTTTGTTACTCTGTTCAAATAAATATTAAAAAATGGTTAGATTATTCAATTTCTCTTAAAACAACTCCATAAATCGACAAATAAGCTATCTTATATATTAATTTAATTATGGGATGTTATAGCCTTAATGCAATCAGACACTAACCTTTGACATATTTGCCCGTCTTTTTTTCTTCCAATTTTCTCATTTTTAAATCTATGAATATTATAAAATTGATCTTTTTTTTAAATATAAAAGTAAAATGGTATTTAATGTTGTTTAGTCTTATTGTGCATACAGCATTTTATCAACTGTCATCATCCATTTGGTCACGCTATCCATACGCAGACTTATTGTAATAACATGTCCCACATGGTTAAAAAGTGAAAATTATGGGACCCTTATAAGAGACTTAAGTTGTGTTCTATAAATAACTTTACTTTTGACCATGATTTTAAACTGGTGGAGAAACTATTACAACTATTTGAATTCAATGTTGTTAAGTTGGCTAAGAAATAATCATAAAAAGTGCGCATTAATTTGAGACATGAATTGCGTAACATGCCATGCCTGCATCATTGATGTTTTCACTGGACAAAACCTTGTAGTTGTTGTACAGTACAACACATTGAAGCATGTGACCAATTATTTTGGTTGATTGGAATGGTGAGGCTGGTGACCGGTTTGTGGGGTTTTGTCCTTTGGTTTCACTACAAAATGGATTGACTTTTAGTTTTTGGTTATCTTGTGGCAACTGGTTTAGTTGGAAAGAAAAAGAAAGTGGTAGAAGCAACCAAAATGATTTAAACCTTTAGGTTGTGTAATTAATGTATCAAAACTTTTTCATTAGGCAAATCATTACAAAAACCTAACATATTTTTATTTAATTTTATTAAAAAATCATTATATATTTTTCTTAGTGTATTAAAATCTCTATATTTTCTGAAAGATTTATTTAAGGCTTTTTTGACTTTAGAAAAACCAAATTTGTTTTTATCACAACATTAAAAAGTGGTTTTGATATAAAAGTGCTTAAATTTGTGAACTTTTGACGGTTTTGTCTCTATTTTTACCTTTTACAACAGGTCACATTTGCATACAGCAAGTCACCACCACCACAATCTACCATGTTACCACAACTAGAAGCAACCCCCACCAACGGTGTGTGGAGATCCGAAAATGGCACCAATTTTTGGTTTTCAGCGGATAGAGGAGGGTGACATGGGTAACTCCGACAGCGGAGGACGATGGTACCAGTGGTTCTTCGGAGAGAGAATAGGGAGGTAGAAGGTAACCGACTAAAGGGTGGTAGTTGCTTCTTGTGGTGGTGACCATTTATAGAAGGTAAAAAATGGTTGAAGGATATTCCTAAATATTAGGCATTAACGTATCAAAAATCGGATAGAACCGTCAAAACTTGACAAATTGAATGACTTTTATGTCAAAAACCCTTAAAAATCAATATATATATTTTTAGTGCATTAAAACCTTTATATTTCTTGAAATTTTAATGTAATGAATTGTAACCAACAAACCTTTAAGAATTGATTACCTAGCATTCGTGGATATATAGGTTTGTCCAGCTCAAAACTTTAAATTAAACATTTTTACAAATATAATGGTTTTAGGTACTTTAGAAAATAATATTGTGGTTTTAAAAAAAATGATGGAAATAAGTTTAGTTTTTTTTTCCTATTTTTTTTGTGAATTTTGAATTTTGAAATAGCTATGAGCCCTCTTGTTATTGTAAGAGTTTTTCAAGAAAATTTCGTAATTAACAAGATCTTTATTGATTTATTTTAACCATTGCGTATTTGTGTTTGGTCTCATATATATTTGGTCAATAACGAATAGCCGATTTATACAAAAAGCAATAGAAATTTATATATATATATATATATATATATATATATATATATATATATATATATATATATATATATATATATATATGAGATCGGTTGAGAACTCATTGTTTCCCGAGAACCCGAGAAGTAAAAGTGGAGCGTTGGATAAAAAATAAATCATTAAGGACATGATCGTCATCTTACCAATCTCATTTATTGTTTAATTTTTTTGTGTTATTTAATATATTAATATAAATATAAATGTCTAAAAATTTACATCATAAATCAAAATTTCATATTTTTTTAAAATAGTATGTTTCGCTTTTTTTTAAATGCAGATTTTTTAGTTTTTTATAGAAAACATGAACTTTAAAAAAAATTGAAAAAAATATTTTTTTTAAAAAACTGCAATTTAAAAAGAAAATTGCATTTTTTTTTTCAAAAAAACTGCAATTTTTTTAAAGAAAATTGCATTTTTTTCAAAAAAAAAAACTGCAAAACTGCATTTTTAAATAAAAAAACTACAATTTTTTCAAAAAACTGCAATTTTTTCAAAAAAACTGCAAGTTTTTTAAAGAAAGTTACATTTTTTCAAAAAAAACTGCATTTAAAAAAAATGCATTTTTTTAAAAGTAATTTTTTAGGTGCATATATCATATTTTTTCAAATGCATATATGTATATTTGTTATACTATAATATTCGTAAGTAAATAACAAAAAAATTCATTTTTTGTAAATAATCTATAAACATAATAGTACAAGTATTTTATTCGATACAAAATAAAATATTTAAAATAAAAAAAAAGCTACAAATTTCAAAGCGTTTTCATGTCTTCGTGTCAATATTTCCTTATTTTCTTCAATTTATCATTTTTCACCTCTTCAATATTCACCACAATTTCTTCTAAATCTACAAGAAAATTAAAAAAAAAATGATTGATGCAAAAACACTCATAAAAATACATATGTGATTTTCATGTGATTAACATTTGAATCACATGCGATTCACATATGAATCACATGCGATTCACATATGAATCACATTTACATATGTCATCATATGTAAATCACATGTAAATCACATGCGATTCACATATGAATCACATGTGAAACACATATGATTTACATGTTAATCGCATGTGATTTACATGTGAATCATATGTGATTTACATGTGAATCAAATGTGATTTACATATGAATCAAATGTGAATTACATGTGATTTTCATGTGAATAACATATGAATGTGTACATATATATGTAATTCATATGTAATTCACTTGTGATTTACATGTGAATCACATATTATTCATATATGATTTACATGTGATTAATATGTGAATCACATGTGAATCACATATGATTTACATGTAAATCACATGTGATTTACATGTGACTCACATGTAAATATTTGAATCACATCCAAATTAATACAATGAATATTATATACGGCAAAAAAGATAATAATTGAGACTACACACCTGGAATCCAAATTAATGTGAGGGGATCCAAATACAATTAATAAAGCAGCTGTAGGAGAACATAAAACTTGTTCATAAAAATCATTAAAAAAACTAAGAAATCTGAAATTAATTGAGACTACACACCTGTAATCCAAATTAATGAAGCATTGCATTGACATTAGGCTTTTTTAGCATTTCCAGAATATCAAGAATAACCTTCAAACGACTTATATGAATAAGGCTTCAAATAACAATATTACAGCAACAACAAAAGTCAAAATGAGCCTATATCAGGTACCAAGGTTATCAAACAGTGGGAAATAACAATATATTACCATTTGACACAAAAGCATGTACAAAGGTTTTACTAACCGTGTACAAAAGCATGTAACAATTGTTATTTTTCTACAAGAAAATTAAAAAAAATTGATTGATGCAAAAAACTCACAAAAATACATATATGACTTTCATGTGATTAACATATGAATCACATGCGATTCGCATATGAATCACATGCGATTCACATATGAATCACATTTACATATAACGTCATATGTAAATCACATGTAAATCACATGCGATTCACATATGAATCATATGTGATTTACATGTGAATCACATGTGATTTACATGTGAATCAAATGTGATTTAAATGTGAATCACATATAATTCACATGTAAATATATAATCTTTATCGTAACTTGTAAAGTAAATAAATAAAAGTATGAGGCTAGTACCATTGAAGATAATAAAGTTTATTAAAACTCAAATAATTTTAACTCTATAAATAGTTGATGAACTTTTAGTTACAAATAAAAAATTAAAGATAATAAAGTTCATTAAAACTCAAATAATTTATAATAAAGGATAATACTTTTTAGTTGTTTTTAAATAAAGAAACTTGAAAATTAAGTAAAATAATAAATGAAAGTTCAAAAATATTTGTGTCATTAAAAGTTACATAAACGAAAATGGGGTAATATTATAAATTCTCATTCCATTCCACGATGGAGTGAAGAAAAAACACCCAATGAAACAACAAAGATAATAAAAATACATTAAAACCCAAATAATTTATGATAAAAATAACACTTTTTGGTTATTTAAAAATAAATGTAATTGAATTTATGTAATATAAATATTTGTGCCATCATAAATTACATACATAAAAATAGGTTTTATTCAAAAATTTTCATGTCATTCCATGATTGAAAAAAACACCCTTTGGCTGAGAAATGAAAATTAGCAAAATGATTCCTTCTGGAATTGTCCATTCCATTCCATTGGGCAAAACAAAACACTACCTGAGTGTATGACCTTAATCACTAGAAATTATAATGAAATTAATGTTTGATTATAATAAGAAAAAAAAACTTACCATGATCTTTAATGGAGGAAGTACTTTGAGCAGACAACTCTCTTTCTCTTTCATTCCAATTATCCTCTTTTGTCCGATAATCTACTAATTTAAAGCTTATCTCTTTGCACATGTTTCCATATGCTTCTAATTTTGTCTCCAATTTAGATACCCTTCCATGGTATGCATCATTTTCTTCTTTGGCTTTATCATACATTAATCTAGCTTTCTCTAATTCACCCTGTAATTCTTTTGTTTGTGTAACCACATATGGCATAGTATTCTTTATTACCTCCACCTTTTTCAACAAAGATGCAATCATGTCATCAATCAGTATTGAGAAACTACCAAATTGGTCACCAAGAATTTGGTTTCTAGCATTCAACTTATCCAAAGTGTTTCCAACATGTGAACCAATAATAATACCCTTACTATCTTCTACATTGAACTCTTCAAGCATCCCAATGTTCCAATCATTGTCAAATCCATCATCCTTACTTTCCTATAAATCATAAGAAATGAGATAGATAAAAGAGAAAAAAACATGAAACTAAATAACTAAAATTGTAAGAGCTGATAATATTATTACCTCAACTGAATGATGTTATTGAAACTGTTCTGAATCAAAACTACCATTTATGTCTTTGAGAACACAGTCTATTTCTTTTAAGTTTTCGATTTTTTTTCTCAAAACTTCTCTTGAACAAAGTAAATAAAGACTCATCTTTTAACAACACTTGAAGATTTCCTAAGAACCTAGAGAGCTCTTGACCCCATTTATCATTACATGTATTTAACTCAGTTTTGAGGGTCAAAATCTCCTGTTCAGCTTTCTTCTTTTCCCCAACAAGAGCAGAAACAATGTTCTTATGGAACTCAGCTTCATGAACCGACCATTCCTTCAGCAATCTCTACTTTAATTTCCAATATAAATTAGATTTTTATTCCAACATTGTATGGAAATCAAACTAAACTTGTAATTTTCACTAAAAAAAACCTAACTCTATAAATCCTAACTCTATAAAATTGTAAACAAATTGATTATAAATTTATGATATAAATTGGAAAAGTCAATGAACACATTCAGACAATATACCTTCCAGTATCTCCACTTCCCAAAGGTCTGATATGCTTAAAATGATGAAGTCCGATTATTTCACCATCTACAGTGATCTACAAAACAATAAAAAAAGGTAAACACTGTTAACATTAAAATCAAATTGAATTAGAAAGCTGAATGTTAAGAAGAATCAAATGCAAGCACCATTAAACATGAAGTCGGAACTCAGAATCTAGTTTAGGAACCTATAACAAAAAGGAGCTCTGATTCCAATCTCAAACATCGAACTTTATTTATTAGGTTAATTTACCTGAGAAGCGAGACCTATAATTTGCTAAAATGTCCAAGTAGTGAAGCGAGACCTGATCTCATTGAAATCGAAACGCAATTGAAGAAATTGGTCGAAGACTTGAACAACGCCGACACCGATTGAACCTCTGAATCTGGAGGTCTGGAGCGATCGGACCTCTGGTTGATTTATTAGG